GAGAGGGGGGGGGGGGGGGGGGGGGGGGGGGGGGGGGGGGGGCACATCCGGGAGCAGCGTTGTACTTTTGCGGAATTGTAACTTTGCCGTTGCATCGCGAACATTGGCTGGTAAGAAAACCAGCAAGAGCAGAGAACTGTTATCCTTGTTGTATTGGTGTTTGGAAGGCGAAAGAGGGCTTTTTCTTCTTCTTCTTCTTCTTCTTTTTTTTAACACACAAAAGTGACATGCCCCATCTATTCTATGACAGAACGAAATGGGAGAACAGAAAGAGAGAGAGAACATCATCAACGCAGTTTAGGATTGTCAATTTTGTTGTATGCTTGTCTGATCGTTGAGTTGTCATTTCTGCTAAATTAGTTGCCCTGGGGACATGTGCATGGCGGGCAAGACAGTGCATCCTACTTGCGATTTGCTTTTCTGGTTTCCTTGCAAGGGTAAAAAAAAAAAAAAAGGCCTGCAAAAAACTTCAGAGTCCAATCCTATTGATCAGATTTTCATCTTCTAAAAAAAAAAGGGACTATGGATAGTCCCAAGAAAAAAAGGGTTTTTTTTTTTTTTTTTTGGAAGCGGAAATTAAAAAAAAATGGAACAGGGGAAAATAACGGGGGTAAAAAGGACCTTTAACTAACAACGGAGTCGCAAAGGGACAAAAAGGGTTCTTCAAAAAAGGTTAAAAAAACTAATAATAAATCGTAAAATTACATAAATAATAAATTCAGATTCCAGAACTATATTTCGCCCACTTGGCTGTGGGGGTTTACTGAAGCAAAAGCATACACACCACATACAACCCCCCTAGATGCATACACACCCCATAGAAACCCCCTTAGAGCCCCTCACACATACATTCCTCATAGACACCCGTCAGAGCCTCTTACGCATACACACCCCCACTATAACTGCTGCAGTGCGCGTTATGGTCTGTCCACATACGGGGCACTTAAAACTGCATGTGCATGTGTATGGGTGCATTGCGTCAAAATACTGTGCTAAGTTTATACTTTTTAATTTTAAAAACAAAAGGTATAAAACCGTATAATTAATAATTAGGGATAATTTGCGAAATACCCCTATAAGTTGAGATATATGCCAAAATGCCCCTAAAAGATGTGGGTAGAATGGAATGCCCTTTTGTGCCTAAATCTTTGTGTTTTGCCCTGTCCGTGTGCAAATTTGCAATCTGGAACGCCTCGTTGGGCCCTGGGCCTGCACCCTGTTTTACCCGGTTTGCCCTCCATACCGGGTGGGCAACTTTGCGCAATACCCAGGCCCGTAGGCATGGCCGTTCGCCTCCGTGATTCGAACTTTCACACTCGTTCCAAACTATAATATAATTGCCATGAAACTTTATGAAATTAAAGTGTTTTTGAACTTCTTTTTTTTCTTTTTCTTTTTTCGTTGGCTTTTTGTTCTTGTTGTTTGCAGCAGGCCAGAGAAGCAGAGTTGTTATCTGATTGTTAAGCACTCACAAGGAGTGAGGAGGAAGGAAAGAAATGTGCCAAACCACTTACTGCAGCTGGGTTGGTGCCTTGTTTCCTTTTATGTTTCGCAGAATAACTGCATTGGGGAGCGAAACTTGAGATACTTTCTTCTGTTCCTGGTCAGGTTAGTGGTCAAGTGAGGATTTTCGCTATTTAATTGTTTGTCCCTTTCCCAGTTCAATTGATTAAATGATTAAATCATTTCCAATTCTATATGCTCAAACCGCAACCGGGGTTAAGGTGGGTTATAAGTTACGGTGCCATTGGTTAGGGGGACTCTGCAGACAGTAGAGAGGTCAGCCTCCTGACGAGCCGCTGAAACTGCAATGAAACAGCCTGTCCCAGACCCCTCTCTCTTGCCCTTCTCTCCCTCTCCTTTTCTGCCTTCAGTTCAGCGCAGTTCTCTATGTAGTATATCTAGTATCTACTCCACGTCTCCAATCACTGGGATCCGTGGGACAACAGCGCCATGATCGATGTCGCGGCGATTTCCATCGCAGACCAACCACTGGGATCCGTGGGACAGCAGCGCCATGATCGATGTCGTGGCGATTTCCGTCGCAGACCAAACACTGGGGCCAATGGCGCCATGATCGATGTCGCGACGATTTCCGTCGCAGACGTGATGCTTTCATGCGTAAGCATGAAACTCTTGTCAAACATGTCATCTCTGCATTGCCTCTGACGCTCTCCGCGACTTCCGTCGCAGACGTGATACATGACGCTGCAGGCAGCGTAATGTATCAACGCTCTCCGCGACCTTCTGCTCTTCTGTGCATGGCTACGGATACTGTTGCACTCGGTTGCAGGCGTCACTATCTCTGCCGCAATCGCCTCAATGCCAGGGCTTTCCTGACTGTGCACGTCCTCCCTGTGCAGGCTCTGATTGTATCGTGGCAGAACTGATCGTATGTCCATTTTGCGTACTGTGCACACGCTCTGCCATTTTGCGGCCACTGATCCTACTGTCCATGCCGGCTGCCATTTTGTGGCCAGGGATGTGCGCTGACGAATCCTTGGTCTTCTCTGATGTTCCTTCCGCCGGTTCCTGGCTGTTGCTCCTTCTTCTTGCCGTACATACAAGTGACATGCCGTTTTTTCGTTTTTTTTTTGTTTTCGAGTGTTTGGCTGACATGGTGGTTGATGCCAGCCATCGTGGTGACGGCGGTTGTGCTAAAAATAGAATGATCAGCTAGGTCTTCCATGTCATCATCGCCCATACAATCTCGTCGAAGTAGTCCCCTCTTGTCGTAAAGGAGAGAGTAGTCCCCTCTTGTTGTCAAGGACAGACCGACTCGTGAGTCTCCTCTTATTTTTTTTATTTTTTTTTTAACAGAACGGAACCTTATGGTTCTGGCTCCTTTTCCATTCTGGGGGGCGTCAGTCCGGTTCCTTTTCCACCTGCAAGTCAGAAGATATTACAAAGATTACTCACACACGCTCCTCCCCCTTACGGTGGGAAGGTCCGAAGGTTGGCATTGATTACTTCCCGAGGGAAGGATGTACCCTCCCTCACCCCTGCCTAAGTTGGCCTGTACTAACTGCCACTGAAATAAGATACTATTCTACCTATCTTGTTGTCACGGTGCTTGTCGGTCGTGAGTTCAAGGTCCGGACCTTCTGTTCCTCTCAGTTTCTTGACTGTCAGATTTGCTTTATCCACTAGAACGGAAGGTTTAACCCTTTTTAGTGACTGCTGCTAAAACCCTGAACCCTTAATCCTGAACCCCTTGTGTTTAGGTTGCTCCTTGCTGTAGCTTAGGGTGTGTCCGTAGTCTGGGGGCTGTTGGGGCTGTGCAGAGTGTACCCTTGATAACCGATGTAATTATACTTCTAATGGGGAGGGGATAGTTTTAGTGAGTTTATAAGAGTGATGAGGGATAGGATAACAGGTGGGTTAAATGGTATTGAGGGGATGGTACGATGCGATGCTCTAAGTTTTGGGTTTTCTTGCCTGTAGGGGTGGTTAATTAATCTGACTTTGACGTGAGTTTCCTCGGTCCTATCTTTTGATGCAGCGATCTGGTCTCTCGTGGAGGTGGAGGTATTCGAGAATTAGGGGTGCTGGGGGTGAGGGGTTGGTTTTGTGGTGCTGGTTGGAGAGGACGCTGTGTGAGGGGGGTTGTGTTGAAAGGTTGTGATGTTTATTGGGGGGACTGTGGATGGGGCGTGTTGGTTATATGGGATGGGATGTTTTGAGGTGGGTTCTGGGTTGTGGTGGGTATTGCCAGGTTGTTGTTGTTGTTGTTTGAGGGTGGGAGGGTTATCCAGCTCTTGAGGATTAGGATGCCACAATAAAAAATAAAAAATAATAGAAAATACAATAAAAACCTAGGCTACCAGAGTGGCCCGGGGTCACTTGCCCGGCCGGGTCAAAATAATTAAAAATAAATAAATATATATATATATATTTTTGAATTTTATTATTTATTTTAAATTTGGTGAAGAATTTCGATGTGACCCTGAGGCAAAAGTTGTTCAGTTTATTTTTCTGCATAACATAGTTTTTTTTTTCAGAATTTTTGGGTTTTTTTTTTTTTTTTTTTTTTTTTGGCTGGGACCTTACCTGATCGTTGCACGGGCTGGCCACCCGGGACCCGGGCGGCCCGGCTGGTAGCCTAGATAAAAACAGTAATAGTTCCTAGGTGTCGTGATCCTAGTTTTTGTGCTGTGAATTTATGTATTCTTTCCGATCATTTGTCTGGGGTGTTAGTTGCTTGTTTCTGGGCTTTATTCCGGTGTGTAACTAGCTCTATTTCTATTATATGTCTTATTGTGGTTCTTGGGTTCTCGGGGTTGATGGGATGTTCTTCAAAGGTTTTGTTGCATCTTCTTTTCCATAATCCCCAAAGGATTGCTTTCCTGATGAGGGAAAAGAAGAAAGCTTCGAAGCCTTTGRGGGGGGGGGGGGGTTGCTCATGATTGTTTTGTCTGAGAGAGTGTTCCAACTTCCAAGTAAGCTAAATTTCGTGCCATATTTTCCTGCCTTCTGGGCAGTCAATAAAGCAGTGGTTTAATATTTCCTGTATATGGAGGTTGCAGACTTTGCACCAAGAGTCGTGATCTGTTCTGCTTTCCTTGTTGCGTCTTTGTGCCAACCACTACGGTGAAAACCAAGCCAAGTTTGATTCTCAGGGAAGTACTTATGCTTGATTCTTTGTCGACCCCAGGTAGGGTGTCTACGAAAGACCCATGCACGAAGTTGTTGAAATATCCGGAAATCCATACGGTGAAAGATTGCAGAGCATTCCGAAAACTTAAAAGTAGTTTCCCCAACCTGAAATCAACGGTTTACCGGTACTGCTCTGAAGGCTATCAGCCATCTTAGGCTGGCTAGTTTCACTGGTCTGGTGCCGAAAGTTGATGGCCATGGTAGAGCGATTTGGGATTCGGTGAGCGTGCTTTCTTCTTTTGCCCATCTTTTTTGTGGAATGTTGGTTATATTGAGGTAGGTTTTGAAAGGAGGAGGTAGCCTAGTCTGGGGTGGTAATCGGTAAGTTCGTGGCGTCGTGAGACCGTGTTGAGGCGGCTAGAAGTGTTCCGGGACCATTCTGTTGGGTCTATTTCCAGTTCCTGTATGCTTGGATTGGGTTTAAAGACCCTGTTTTTTCCCCCTTCGATGACTCTTATTCTCTTTAGGTTATTTGATATGAATGATGCCTCTGCTCTGCTTTCTGTGTTAAGGAAACTTGCTGGATTGCCTGGTTCGTCTAACGTATAGATGTCGCAACAGATCCACTTGTCATTCTGGGTTTCATATGCTTTGAATTTCAGGACTTCCATTATCAGTTCCTGGTCCTTTGTTGTGGCCCAGTCGCCTGGCTGCCATTTCTCGGTCGTTTTTATTAGGCATCTCCATTCCATGGGGATGCTCTCGATTATTTGGTTTATACTTTTTTGAAGGTGGTGCGTGCCTTTCATGATTGGTCTTGGGTCCTTTTCTGATTTCCATGTATTGGAGGCACTTTCCCAGAGATGTTGAATTTGCCGTATTCCCTTTTTCTCTGCCCATAGTCCCCATTTGGCTTCTGTTTTAGAAAGAAAGAAACATTGCCCTTTCTCATATTTTTGATCCATGGATTCCCGAAGAGGGGTTGTCTGAGTACTTCGTCTCTTCTATTGGGGCCTATTTTGTTCTCGGGGAATATGGTTCTCCAATTTTGTATGATTTGTGCCCATAGGTATTTTGGGGGTTCATCCTCATATGTGTCGTCTTGAGTTGGTTGTTGGTTCTGATTTCTTTTGCCTTTGGGGAGGGGCCAATGTTTGTTGTGGATCCAGAAATACCCTGACATGTTTTCGGGATATTTGAATGGGGCTAATTCCCTTATGTGGTTCAGAGTCAGAGGGGCCCAGTGTAGGTTGTCTTGGAGTGATATTCTCAGTATCCACTTGATTTGAAGGGCCTGGATCTGTCGAGCTGGGTCGAGTAGACCTAGGCCTCCCTTGGCTTTGGGTTGAGTGATAGTGTGCCAAGCCACTTTATGAATGAAGTGCTCTTTGTCTGGGTCGCCCGTCCACAGGAAAGCTTCCGCCTTTTTCCTGATCTGGCTTTGGAAATTTTCTGATGGGCAAATGGAGGTGGCATACCACATCATGGCTAGGATGGAATTATTGAGGGCTAGGACTTTGCCTAGTAGTGAAGTGTGCGCGCTCTTCCACGTGTGCAGTCTGTTAATCATGGATGATAGTAGGGAGGCCGCTGATGTATTATGGCATCCTTTAGTATTTAGATCATACTTGCAAGCGGACGCCGTCCGGGCGGTTCCGCACGTGCGGCAGACCGCCAGACCGGACCCGCGCGGCGCACAAATGTGCGCCCGACGACCAGTTACGCCCCACTCCAAAAAAAAAAAAAAACCGGCCCCGTCCGGTCCGGGGGGAGGGTGCCGCACGCGGCAAAGCGGACCGGACCGGACCGGACGCTCGTCGGGTCCGTCTGCTTGCAAGTATGATTTAGATTGATTCCTAGAAAGCAGATCTCATGGATGATAGTAGGGAGGCCGCTGATGTATTATGGCATCCTTTAGTATTTAGATTGATTCCTAGAAAGCAGAGCGGTTCATATAAATCTGTCCACCGCATCCCTTCCGGTATGAGTTCTATGGGAGGAGGGTCTTCCGAGAACCACCATCCTGTTGTTTTTGTCCAGTTAACTCTCATTTCGGAGGCTAGTTGAAAGGCTTGCATTGCTCTTGTCAACGCCTGGAAGGAGGAGTTGGATGCCCTGATGAGAACCGTGAGGTCGTCTGCGAAAAGAAGGGTGGCGGGGATGTGTAGGGGTTGCCCTCTTTCATCTTTAATGTTAGTTAGTCTCTCTATGGATGGGTCTTTTCTCAAGAAAGCTGCTATGGCTTTCGTTACAAATAGGAAGATTGGAGCTGCTAATGGGTCTCCTTGTCTTACCGATCTTGACATTTTGTAGGGGTTGGAGAGAAATCCGTTGATTTGTACTATGCCTTGTGCATCATTGTATAAAACCTTTACCCATTTTCTGAAGATCGGGCCGACTCCCATTTTTTCCATTGAGGCTTGGAGAAATTCCCAGTTTACTTGATCGTATGCTTTTTCAAAGTCGAAGAAGAGGATTGCTGCTGTTATCTTCTTTTGATTTATTAATCTGGTAGTCTCACTGAGGGTCATAACATTGTCTAGGATAAGTCTGCCTGGTATAAACCCTGTTTGATTAAGGTGGAAGCATCCACCTGTGATCCGGTTTATCCTAGAAGCTAGTAGCTTGGCTAGGATTTTGTAGGAGACGTTTAGTAGGGATATGGGTCTGTAGTTCCTTTCTTTGTTTCCTTTCTTGCAGAGAAAGGTCACTACTCCCATGCTTAGCGTTGGTCCTAGGGATTCTTCTTCCCAGGCTCTGTTGAGGAAGGCTAGGAGAAGAGGGCCTAGTTTGTGCCAACTTCCTAGCCAGAATTCTTTTGAGAGGCCGTCTCTACCTGGTGCTTTGTTTGGTTTTAGGTCTTTGAGTGCGGAGTGCAATTCTTCCATTGTGATAGGTTGCTCTAGTGAGTTTGTTGTTTCCTTTGACAAAGTTCGGTCCAGGTATTTTAGGAATTTTGCTCTGGGTTTGAGTGTTTCGTTGGGGCTGTCTGATGTGGTTTTGCTGGTGTATAGGTCCCTGTAGAAGTTAGTAGCTATGTTGACTAACTGGGTTCGGTGGGTTGTTTCTGAGGTGGGATTACCGTGTTCGTTTAATAAGCTTTCTATCTTGGAGTTCCTGGAGTTGGATTTGATTTTTTGAAAAAAGAATTTTGTCATTTTCTCATTTAGCTCCCAATCGTTTACTCTGGCCCTTAGTTGTAGCCCCCTGAGTTTTAGTTTTGTCCATTCGGCTAATTCTTCCTTAGCCGTGGTGTATAATTCTGCATAAAATTCTGAATTAGTGTCTTTTTGAAGATTTGTTTCGGCAATTTCTATTGCATTCCTTAGTGTTTCTACTCTTTTCTTTCCTTTGTGCTGCCAGTCTTCTTAGTATTTCGGGGAATTTGGTAAAAATGTCTTCATTTTGGTTTGTCTCTGTCCGTGAGTTTAATATTCTTATTAGTTTGGTCTGAAAGGTTTGGCTGGTTAGTAGTGCATTGTTGAAGCGATAGAAGCTCTTTCCTACGTATCCGGTTTTGGTGAGTCTAAGGGTGAGTGTAATTGCTTTGTGGTCGAGGCCTTTATAGTAGGGGTTGTTTTTTATTTTGCAGGCCAGAATAGTTCCTGATAGTGTGTCTGAGGTAAGGAAGAAATCTATTCTTGAGAACGAGGTTCTTCCAAGGGAGATTTTCCTAATGCACGAGTAGTGTTTTGCGTTGGGGGTAAGGAGGCGATATGGGTCTACTAGGTTCTTTTTTGTCATAAAGTCTCCTAGGTCTGTGCTGTTGGATTGTGGTGGGGGATCTTGGGGGTTGGAGATTCTGTCCAGGGTGACATCCTGTACTGAGTTCCAGTCGCCCATGATGATGGCGTGATTGTGGGTGGGGATTAGTTGTTCTAGTGACCGGAGGAAGGGAGTCTTTTATTGTGCTGCGTTTGGACCGTATATGCCCAGGATGGATATGTTCTCCTCTTTAAGTTGTAAGTCTGTCTTGACCCACCTGCCTGTTGAGACATCGTGGCTAGGGGTTTGGATTGTTATGTTGTCGCTTGATGTGGATTTTTGGTGGAAGAGGATGACCGTGCCTGCTGAGCCGTTTGGTGTTGCGCTGGCCCAGACTGAGGATTTGACGAATTGCAATTTCTTGATAATTGCAGCTTGGATTCTCCTGTGTTCATCGCTGTTAGTGAGGTGTGTTTCTTGTATGCAAACTATGTCTGGGGGGTTTCGCCCAAACCAATCAGTGGTTTCTGTTAAGTTGCGCCATTTGATTGGGTTGTCCAAAACTGATGCTAGCCCATTGACGTTCCATGATAGTATGGACAATTCTGGTTGTTCTCTAATTTCCTTTATGATATCCGCTTCTGTCGTAGGTTTGAATCTCTTTGGATTGTGACTCACCCATCCGTCTGAGTCACCATCTGCTGGGTTTTCCATTAGAGTGTGAGATGGTTAGCCTCGACTTGGGCTGATGTCCTGAGTCTTCTCTTATACTAATTGGGGGAGTGCTAACAACTTTAGCACAGACAAAGTCCTTTTTCTTTAAAATAAAAAACAAAATAAACTTGATAAAGTTAATAAACCAGGTGCCTCTTCTATCCTTATGCCCCAGTGTTCAAGGATTTGTATGGCGTTGTAACTTGTATAAAGTTGTATGCCCAATTTTCATCCTTTTTTTTTTTCTTTTTTTTTTTTTCCAAACAACTCTGTGACAGGGACAGTATGTGGAGTGTTGTTCTCGTGCGGTTTTCTGCCTCCTATTTTCCCCAAAAGCAGATGCGGGCAATTGTTGGCATTACCGCATATCTGCCTGTGCATTTCTTACATTTTCAAAAAAAGAAATGAGCTCAGATTTGGGGTCCTCTGGGAGAACGCAGAAATCCAAAAAAAAGAAAACTTTTTTTTTGCACGCCTGGGTGCCCGGCCGGACAGGACCAGCTGGGCGTGAAAATCTTCCTAGCTCGTTTTGCAATTCCTTGGCCAGGAGGTTTCTCATTTGCCGTCTCTGCTGTGAAACCGCCACGACGTCCGAGGCTGCTTTCACCAATCCGAATTCATTCTGCGTGCCGAAAGAAAAACGAACAGGCATGCCGCTGGAAAGAAAAACGAACAGGCACCGGCGCCTTTTGTTTTCTTTTTTGGCTGGTGGCGCCAGTTGTTTTTGTCCAGTAGCTCCAAGCCCCAGATAGTCTCAGATGTATGTGAACTGTGTCTTTTTTCTTTGCCTGGGACGTGTAACGGTGGTTTAAGCAGCTCTGTGGGTCTAGTGAGTAGATTAGTCAGTTGACTCAGTTGGCGAGGTGCTCACTCACGATGATGATGTGTGTATGTGCCTATTTCGTCTTCACTCTGTGCTGCAGCCATTGTTTGATGTGCTGCTATGGAATATACTTGCTGCTGGCCATTCTCATCGGAGAAGCGGTGGAGAGATCTGTCATGGAAGCGATCGAAGGTAAGGTAGACGACAAATGAAATGAAAGCCCCTAAGTATTCTTTTTGCAGAGCAACTTCAAACCCCCAGTTCCTGTGATGACGGGTGTGCATTCCCCCCCCCCCCCCCCCCTCCTTCTTGCCCTTGCCCCCCTCTTCCGTCTCCACCCCCAGTTCCTGTGATGACGGGTGTGCATTCCCCCCTGTCTCTTATACACATCTAGATGTGTATAAGAGACAGGGGCAGGACCTACTGGGAGATCCCAGCTTATGTGGGGCCCAACTTTTCTCCTTCGTTTGAAAACCAATAGGAGAAAAATTCGGCGCCACATAAATTGGGGTGCCCTGGTACACGAAGAATAAATTCAATTCATGTAAATCAATCCTTTCTTTCTGCTCTTTTTTTTTTTTCTTTTTTTTTTTTTTTGGACTTGTTTTATGAACACGTGACTGTTCCTCTTGTCCCGGCGACGGTATGGTCCATAGCTCAAGCGGTTCTGGTCCTACCTTCTTCGTCCGAATAGGAAGTACGGTATGGTCATTATTGATGTATTTAGACGGACCAAATGCAGCGATAATGAGGGTGCGTTGTACTGGGCCTGCCTTCTTCATCCGAATAGGAAGTACGGTATGGTCATTATTGGTGTATTTAGACGGAAGAATGTACCAAATACAGCGATAATGAGGGTACGTTGTATTCGGGTAAAGAAGGTATGTAGTAACCGCTGGATCTGTAGTTGTGGCGGG